CAACACTTACCTCCCTATTACCACCATCACTACCATCCTCTGCCACAGTCACTACCACCCTCTACCTTTGTAGAGGGTGGTGGTGGTGTTTTTGCTCCACAGAACTTTGAACACTCATTCCACTTTTTACTTTGCTACGAGTTCTTTCTTGAATTCTGTGGTGTTTCTTGCCTTCCCTATCAAAGGGCTGGCACTCGTAACTTTCTTTGGCCCCATTTGTTGCTTATTTAGCATTCGCACTCAATAAAAAAAACACAGAAGAAATGGCTTTTTACGAAATGTTTTGGATGAACGCACAGGGTAGGTCATGCTCACTCAACGAGAATCAAAGTAGGACTGACTCAGAATTGGTGTCTACTTTGTGTGGGCGCGGGCAGGCGGACACATTCAGTATGGCGGAACACTGTCAACTCAACGAAAACCGAGGTGATGAACGAAAACTGGGATAAAATTTTGATGGAAAAAGTCATCTAAATCCGAATTTGACGAAAACCAGGGCAAACTAAAACCAAGGTTGCACTGTATTAACCTTTTCAGTGGCTGTCGCATAAAACTGTGTTATTGAAGCCAGGGTCCCTCATGTAATTCTATTTCATGAGTTCAGCTCACTCAGATAAGCTGTGAATGGTAAATTTTGTCCTAGATTTAAGAGAATGGATCTGTACAGTGAGTGTTCACAGAAAAAAAATATCCTGCCCTATGTGGTGCATGATGGGCAATGCAAAACTGACCATGTTTATAGTTTAAAATAGGAACTTTGAGGTATTTTTTATTATGATTTTTTTATGATTTCATTGGCAGCTTCTTGGTATAATTTGATAGAATGAAATATTTTTTTTTTTTTTTTTTTCAACAAGTCGGCCGTCTCCCACCGAGGCAGGGTGACCCAAAAAAGAAAGAAAATCCCCAAAAAGAAAATACTTTCATCATCATTCAACACTTTCACCACACTCGCACATTATCACTGTTTTTGCAGAGGTGCTAAGTATACAACTGTCTAGAAGCTACACTATAAAGATACACACAACTATCCCTCCAAACTGCATACTTTACCAAACCCCTCCTCTTAAAAGTGCAGGCAGTGTCCGTCCCATTTCAGGACTCAAGTCCGATATATGAAAATAACGGTTTTCCCTGAATCCCTTCACTTATTTAGCTACCCTGCTCACACTTCCACAGATCGTCAGGTCCCAAGTACCATTCGTTCTCCATTCACTCTTTCTAACACGCTTCGCACGCGTGCTGGAAGTCCAAGTCCCTTACTCTCCAAAACCTCCTTTACCCCTCTCTCCAACCCTTTCGAGGAGTGGGGAAAAACCACCTACCCCGCCTTCCTTCCTATAGATTTATTGCTTTCCATGTCATTCTACTTTGTCCATTCTCTCATATGACAAACACCTCATCACCCTCTTCTGCCTCTGATAATACTTTTATTAACTCACACCTTCTCCTAATTTCCACACTCCGAATTTTCTGCATAATATTTACACCACACATTGCCTTAAACCCTTTCAGGGTTCCAAGGGCCCAAAATCTGGAGTCATGCACCAGTGCAAGATTTTCAACAAAAAAAATTTGTTATTTTTTCTTATGAAACGTTTAGAGAATCTTTTTGTGAATGTAATAAACAAAAGTACGAATTTGGTGGAAAATTGACGAAAATTGCTCTCGCGAATTTTGATGTGTCAGCGATATTTAACGAATACGGTGATTTTGCCGACTTGACTCCCATGTTAGGCCAATTACATTATTCCAATCACCAATGTCTTAGCTATTTCACTTGTATTACTTCTAGTTAGCGAATTGTTGTGCACAAGAAATCGACCAAGTCACCTGTTTCTACTACAACATTAAAGTGATTGGAAATTGTTAAATCGGCCAATTTAACACAAATGTTCAAAATATTCAATTTCAAAAATAGGGTCCAGAATGTACAAGGTAGGCATTTCCTGGCATGAACTAATATTTCTTCTGTTCATTTGTTATTGTTGGGTGGCTTTACCAAATAACTACATTTTGATTTTTTAATTCACATAATGAATTTTTATTCACACCAAAAAAATAGAAGATTTTACTGTTATCGACACAATACTGTAATAATTGTATAAATATCATCACCATATTGTGAATGTTATTAGACCCACCAGCTGACGTGTATTAGACGTGTGAGGTCGTTCTGTTTACTCTTGATATCAGCAATAATTTACATTTCTGCTATTTTGAAGCAGTTTCAAGCCATTTCCAGTGTAAAACCAATCAAAATCATCTCTATTTCTGTAATATGTCTTCCATTCTATCAATGGAGACCAAGAAATCGCAAATACAACTATAAAAAACTACGAAAAAACACTGCAAAGTTGCTGTTTTAATCGAAAAATCATGATTTCATTTTTTTTCTCTCATTATACACAGTGTGCTGCAGGATCTGTTTTATGTGGTGCACACATACCACATAGATGTATTCTCTCATATCTAGGCCCAAATGTACCACTCACAGTTTATCAGAGTGAGCTGAGCTCATGGCGTAGATCTACGGTTTGGACCCTGAACGTAAAGCCGTAGATCTACGGGACGGACCCTGAAAGGGTTTAAACAGGACATCTCCACTGCCTCCAACCGTCTCCTCGCTGCTGCATTTACCACCCAAGCTTCACACCCATATAAGAGTGTTGGTACTACTATACTTTCATACATTCCCTTCTTTGCCTCCTAGATAACGTTTTTTGACTCCACATATACCTCAACGCACCACTCACCTTTTTTCCCTCATCAATTCTATGATTAACCTCATCCTTCATAAATCCATCCGCCGACACGTCAACTCCCAAGTATCTGAAAACATTCACTTCTTCCATACTCCTCCTCCCCAATTTGATATCCAGTTTTTCTTTATCTAAATCATTTGACACCCTCATCACCTTACTCTTTTCTATGTTCACTTTCAACTTTCTACCTTTACACACATTCCCAAACTCATCCACTAACCTTTGCAATTTTTCTTTAGAATCTCCCATAAGCACAGTATCATCAGCAAAAAGTAACTGTGTCAATTCCCATTTTGAATGAAATATATGCTACTGAAATAGAGATGATGTTGATTGGTATCAGAACTGGAAGTAGCTTAAAGTTGAGCTCAAAGAAGCAGAAATATTTGATTTTGCCAATTCTCCTGAAGAAGGGTAATTCTCCCCTACACCCCTGATATGTTTTATGGGTTGTTAACCAGTCTGATTCAATTATTGGGACACTGTAAACCATAACCAGTCATTTCTGGTTATATTTTTTTATACAAGAAGTAGAGAAAATCTTTTGTTTTGTGTGATTATAAATTCAAAATGGAATGGAAGTGTAATATAGGAGAGGCCTGGGGACATGATAAATGAATGGAGTAAAAATGTTTTAGTGCCAAGATTGTCTACATTGTTTATTTTGCAGTCTGTTTTTAAATTGGTGTTTTTTTAATTATGTAAAATTAACCAAATTACTGATTTTCGTGCACTTTATAGGGTAGTTGTAGTAGTTAGTGGGTGGTTTCTTGTGCTCAGTTGATACAACAAAACGCATGTTAGAGAAATAGCTAAGAATTTGGTTGAATAGTGCAATGGAATTGATTTTAAATAGGACTCAAATTTTGCGAAATAGCCAATGCGTAAATTGCAGCCAGACCACTAACTCTGTACCAATATAATTCCATAAGTATTTCATCAGATTTTTTTTTTCTCTCTCAACACTTCGGTCGTCTCCCACTGAGGCAGGGTGACCCAAAAAGAAAGAAAATCTCCAAAAAGAAAGAAAATCTCCAAAAAGAAAGAAAATCTCCAAAAAGAAAGAAAATCCCCAAAAAGAAAAATACTTTCATCATCATTCAACACTTTCACCTCACTCATACATAATCTCTGTGTTATTATCTTCAGACAAAGATTCTCTACTACTTCAGAGGAAGAAGAATATTAAAAAAAAAATATGTACGCTCAGAGTACGTGTAATATTAACTCTATGACTGTTTCAGTCATATAGTATGTATGTCTTAGGAGCCACTGCTTTTGACTTATTTATACTCCAAAATTCTACCAGCTTCAAATCAAGTGGGAGAAAGACGGTAAGCCCACATGTGAGAGAATGGGTCTGTGTGGTCATTGTGCACAGTATAAAAAAAATCCTGCAGCACGCTGTGCATATTGAGAAAAAACCTCAGACGTGTTTTTGGATTAAAAAGCCGACTTTGAGGTGTATTTTCATATGCTATTTTTGGTTATATTCTCATTTTATTGGTCTCATTTGATAGAATGGAAGACATATTACAGAAATAGGGATGATTTTGATTGGTTTCACGATGAAAAGGACTTTGAAATTGAGCTCAAAGTAGCAGAAATGTTTGATTTTTGCCAATGTTCAAAAGTAAACAAATGACGTCGTTGTCCAATAAGTGTCCAGCTAGCCATTCTAATACGCAGTCACAAATGGAATGACATTATTTATACAATTTTACAATAATGCAGTAGTCTGCATAACAGTAAATCTTCTATTTTTTGTGTAAATAAAAATTCAAAATAGAAGGCAAGAGTAATATGAGAGGGGCCTGGAGACGTGACTGAGAACAGAGAAAATGTTATTTTAGCACCAGGAATGTCTGCATTGTTCATTCTGGACCCTATTTTGAAATTGGCATCTTTTTTAATTTGCATGAAATTGGCCAAATTGCCAGATTCTGACCACTTTATTGGGTAGTTGAAATCGGTAAATGGGTGGTTTCTTGTGCTCCGTGATAGAACAAATGGAGTTCCACTGAAATAGCTATAAGTTTGGTCGACTGGAACAGTGGAATTGGCCGAAAATAGGGCTCAAAGTGGGCAAAATCGCTGAGATCTCTAACTTCGCGAGAGCATAATTCCGTAAGTTTTCCATCAAATGTCATACTTTTGGTGTAATTAATTTGAACTGTAATAGTTAAAAATTATTTTAAATTTCACAGTTAACTATTCACTGTTTTTTCTTGTTAGGCTATATTGCAGGAATGAAGATAGCTCTACCAGAGGGTTTCTCTCGGACTAATGACAACATGAAAGAAGAGGTGGAGATACCTGTATCTGACCCAGCACCTCCTGATGTTGGAGCTAAGCTCTTCCCTGTTAGTGAACTGGACAAGGTAAATACTGTACTGTGTGTTTTAGACTGAATAGCTGGGTACAATTTTATATATGCTAAATAAAAAAACAGCTATCCATGAGGGTATTACTTTAACTTGACACCTTTGTGGGCTGAATTGAAGTTCAAAAAATGAAGTTGAAACTCTCCTATATACAGTAGAGCACCAGAAATTTGGTGTTAATTGCTTTGAATTATCAGTTATTTTGGAAATTTGATGCTTAGATGAGAATGCAGGAAACCATCAATTATTTCTAGGGGTAGCAATTTTACTAAGTTATGTGATTAGTAATGTACTGTAATTATAAGAAAGTTTGAGGTCAGATTTTTTTTTGTTAGTTTTGGTTTTCCTCCTTTTCCTAGGAGTTTAACCCTTAACCCTTTGACTGTCGCAGGCCCCTTTCTGAAACTGTCATTCTATGTCGCAAAATATTCGAAAAAAATAAATTATTTTTTCTTATGAAAATGTTAAGATTATTTTTCTGAGTGTTTTAGTCCAAAAAAAAAATTTGCCATCAGTACTTACCGAGATATAGAGCTGTGAAGTTTGCAGAAAATGAGCCGTGTATGGCAACAGCGGCAACTGCCGGTCACCCGGTAAACTTTAGTTTACTTGTATTTGAAGGTTTGTTGTTTTTTTCACTATTTTATTTTTTCACATAACTTATGTGGCCTGTGAGACCAAAGTAAGGTGCAATGTACATATATACACTCGTTGTATACAACACAATAAGCACACAAACATAATTATCAATATATTGTTTACAAAACTTGTTTACAAAAACAAACAATACAAAATTTTTTTTATTACTATTGTTCTATAATATATATACCAATATACAGTCACTGAACATATTCCTAGAAGTTCTGCAGCTTGTGGAACTCTTTGAAACATGGTGTCATACACAATGGTGTTTTACACTCCTCACACATAAAACATGGTGTCATACACAATGGTGCTTTACACTCCTCACACATAAAACCAGTGTGTGTGCATTTTTGTGGACTTTTTTTTTTTATGTGCAAAGACAAAACATCTTGTCTGAGCAGTTTTCTGCAAAGTATTAGCAGGCAGTTGTGTTATGTAGTTATCCTAGGTAAATGGTAGTGTGTCATCATTCCTTCCTTCCTACCTTCCTGATGACACAGTCTTGTGGCTCTCTCTGAGACAGAGCTAGATGGATAGACAGAGAGCTTGACAGACAGACAAATAGACAGACAGAAATGTTTGTGTACCAGCAAAAACAAAGGGAGGGCGATGGTTATCTAATCTTTCCTTATCAGCTCCACCCTACTTTACGGTCATCAAACGTCAGCTCTTATCAGATGTTATCTCCCCTTATCTTGTCACTGTCATGGGGTAGACTTTTTTTTTCTTGCTTCAAGGGAACATCTTCTTCTTCTTTCTTCTTTTTTCTTCTTCTTTTTCTTCTTTTTTTTCTTTTTCTTCTTTTTCTTCTTTTTTCTTCTTATTCTTTTTCTTCTTCTTTTTCTTCTTTTTCTCTTTTTTCTTCTTTTTTCTTCTTTTTCTTTTTTTCTTCTTTTCTTCTTCTTCTTCTTCTTCTTCTTCTTCTTCTTCTTCTTCTTCTTCTTCTTCTTCTTCTTTTCTTCTTTTCTTCTTTTCTTTTCTTTTCTTCTTTCTTCTTTTTTCTTCTTTTTCTTTTTTTCCTTTTTCTTTTCTTTTTCTTTTTCTTTTTCTTTTTCTTTCTTTTTCTTTTTTTTTTTTTCTTCTTCTTTTTTCTTTTCTTTTTTTTCTTCTTCTTTTTCTTCTTTTTCTTCTTCTTTCTTTCTTCTTCTTCTCCTTCTCCTTCTCCTCCTCCCTCCCTTCCTCCCTCCCTCCCTCCTCCTCCCTCCCTCCTCCTCCCTCCCTCCTCCTCCCTCCTCCTCCCTCCTCCTCCCTCCTCCTACTCTTCCTCCTACTGCTCCTCCTACTCTTCCTCTTCCTCCCCCTCTTCCTCCTCCATAGTGTAAATTACCAGGAGTGGGCAGCTGTCAAAATGACATATTGTCTCATTACTCACTCCCCCTCCCGCCTGCCATAACAATGGGGTCCGATGTTGCTTCCCCTCCATTCTATCTAATTATCTTTCTCCCACATTCTATCTCTTTCAATCTGTCTCTCTCCCTCTCTCTGTCTGTTTATCTCTGTCTCACAGGTACACATAAATACAAGTATACATAGTGTAAATTACCTAGGATAACCCTAAAAATCCAGACAAAGTGCTATACTCTGTTGAAGATGTGAGTAAACATGATGATGACACAGTCTTGTGGCTCTCTCTGAGACAGAGCTAGATGGATAGACAGAAAGCTTGGCAGACAGACAAATAGACAGAAATGTTTGTGTACCAGCAAAAACAAAGGGAGGGCGATGGTTATCTAATCTTTCCTTATCAGCTCCACCCTACTTTACGGTCATCAAACGTCAGCTCTTATCAGATGTTATCTCCCCTTATCTTGTCACTGTCATGGGGTAGACTACTGCTGCTGCTGCCTTTGCT